GCCAGCCCATATGACAACAGGAAAATGCAAACTCCCTTCTTGTAAGCTTTTTCACCCTGAACTGTGTACCTCTTCAGTACAGGAAAGACTGTGCTATAACTTAAATTGCCAGGCAACCACTAAAGGGGACAAAAAGATACAAAACATCCAGGCCATGGGAAAACCTGGGTAGCCACAGCCACTCAAGGGGGAGAGGTTTTTTAGTGCCGGGAAGGAAAAAAAACTGGCAGGAAATGGCAGAAATCGTACACCAAATCCAGTCATTCCTGGAGTGGAACCACAGTCGATGGCCTCCACTCCAAACCAACAGATACAGATACTAATGCCGGAAAAAAAAAACCCCCCCCAGTACCAACAATACCACCAGTCCGATAACATTCTTCTTTGCAAAATATACAGGGGCAAAGCCAGCAACAAACAACAAAAAACCTTTCATCCGTGGACTGCTTGCAGAGGCAAAGGCAATGTTTTGCGGCTTTCACTGAGACCCACATAAAGGATCACTTGGACAATTAAATATGGATCCCAGGGTTACAACCTATACAGATGTGACAGAGTGAACAGCAAAAGGGGGGGGGTTGGCCTGTACATTGCAGAGTCACTTTTTTGCACAGAACTGCTAAATGCCTCAAATGATGTATGGAAGTTTTAGCAGTAAAGGTCGAGAACCAAAAACCCAGTCATTGTGAAGTCCCACAAGCCTCCGGATTGCAACATCCCAGCAATTCCAGGAACAGCTGTTAAAAATTACCACTGTCTGGAAAACCCTCCAGCTCCTGCCCCAACATCTTGCTCCTGGGGGATTTCAACTTAAGGCACCAAAATGGAGGAATATACAAATAATATTGTTTTCAGTAATAACACCAGGAGGCAGCTCTGATGAAAACTCACACTCACGCGAGCTTTTAAATCTCTGCACAAAATTCAATTTAAACCAGCAAATAAAAGAGCCTACAGACTGGAGAATACACCCAGACCTCAATCTTCACTAACAATGATGATCTGATAAGAAATATCACCATATCAAAAACAATATACTCAGATCACAACAAAAATTGAGGTTCAGTCATGTAGCGCGGAGCCCCAGACCGACATAATGAGATTAGTCACGAGGGAGCATTCACCAAATTCAACTTCCCAAAAACAAAAACATAAAGTGGGACCAAGTAAACCAAGTCCTAACCGATATAAGCTGGGAAGATATACTAACAACACAGACCCCAACTTATGCCTAGAACAGATTAACTCGGTAGCACTCGATGTATGCACAAGGCTTATTCCTCTAAGAAAAAGGAGGAGTAGATGTAAAACAGAAAGAGACAGGCGCTCCCTTTACAGGCGACGGAAAAGAATAACAGAGCGGCTAAAAGAGGTCAATATATCTGAAATGCGTAGGGAGACACTGGTCAGAGAAATAGCAAGCATCGAACTTAAGCTAAAAAGAATCCTTTAGGAGTCAGGAATCGCGGAAGAACTAAAAGCCATAAATGAAATCGAAAGAAACCCAAAGTATTTCTTCTCCTATGCCAAATCAAAATCGAGAACAACGTCCAGTATTGGGCCCCTACTTAAACAAGATGGGTCCTACACAGATGACAACAAGGAAATGAGTGAGCTACTCAAGTCCCAATATGACTCAGTTTTTAGCAAGCCGCTAACCAGACTGAAGTCGAAGATCAAAATGAATTTTTTATGAGGGAGCCACAAAATTTGATTAACACAAGCCTATCCGATGTTATCCTGACGCCAAATGACTTCGAACAGGCGATTAAATGACATGCCCATGCACTCTGCCCCAGGCCAGACTCATGGAACTCTGTGTTCATCAAGAACTGCAAGAAGCCCCTATCACGAGCCTTTTCCATCCTATGGAGAGGGAGCATGGACACGGGGGTCGTCCCACAGTTACTAAAAACAACAGACATAGCCCCACTCCACAAAGGGGGCAGTAAAGCAACAGCAAAGAACTACAGACCAATAGCACTAACATCCCATATCATAAAAATCTTTGAAAGGGTCCTAAGAAGCAAGATCACCACGCATCTAGAAACCCATCAGTTACACAACCCCAGGGCAACATGGGTTTAGAACAGGTCGCTCCTGTCTGTCTCAACTATTGGACCACTACGACAAGGTCCTAAATGCACTAGAAGACAAAAAAAAATGCAGATGTAATATATACAGACTTTGCAAAAGCCTTCGACAAGTGTGACCATGGCGTAATAGCGCACAAAATGCGTGCTAAAGGAATAACAGGAAAAGTCGGTCGATGGATCTATAATTTTCCTCACTAACAGAACACAGAGAGTAGTCGTCAACAGAGTAAAGTCCGAGGCAGCTACGGTGAAAAGCTCTGTTCCACAAGGCACAGTACTCGCTCCCATCTTGTTCCTCATCCTTATATCCGACATAGACAAGGATGTCAGCCACAGCACCGTGTCTTCCTTTGCAGATGACACCCGAATCTGCATGACAGTGTCTTCCATTGCAGACACTGCAAAGCTCCAGGCAGACATCAACCAAATCTTTCAGTGGGCTGCAGAAAACAATATGAAGTTCAACGATGAGAAATTTCAATTACTCAGATATGGTAAACATGAGGAAATTAAATCTTCATCAGAGTACAAAACAAATTCTGGCCACAAAATAGAGCGAAAACACCAACGTCAAAGACCTGGGAGTGATCATGTCGGAGGATCTCACCTTCAAGGACCATAACATTGTATCAATCGCATCTGCTAGAAAAATGACAGGATGGATAATGAGAACCTTCAAAACTAGGGGCCAAGCCCCTGATGACACTCTTCAGGTCACTTGTTCTATCTAGGCTGGAATATTGCTGCACCCTAACAGCACCTTTCAAGGCAGTGAAATTCCCGACCTAGAAAATGTACAGAGAACTTTCACGGCGCGCATAACGGAGATAAAACACCTCAATTATTGGGAGCGTTTGAGGTTCCTAAACCTGTATTCCCTGAAACGCAGGAGGGAGAGATACATGATTATATACCCCTGGAAAATCCTAGAGGGACTAGTACCGAACTTGCACACGAAAACCCACCCACTACAAAAAGCAAAAGACTTGGCAGACGATGCCCCACCCCCCCAATAAAAAAGCAGGGGTGTCACTAGCACGTTAAGAGACCATACAATAAGTGCAGGGGCCCGAGACTGTTCAACTGCCTCCCAGCACACATAAGGGGGTTTTACCAACAGCCCCCTGGCAGTCTTCAAGCTGGCACTGGACAAGCACCTAAAGTCAGTTCCGGATCAGCCGGGCTGTGGCGATTTGTTGGTTTGCGCGCAGCCAAGCAGCAACAGCCTGGTTGATCAGGCTCTGATCCACCAGGAGGCCTGGTCTCAGACCGGGCCGCGGGGGCGTTGACCCCCGGAACTCTCTCCAGGTAAACTCCAGGTTACTACTGTGCAAACTACATCTACAGGGGCCCTTAAACTCTAATATCAACTTGACCTAAAACGCTTTCTTGATAGTTGTGACAGAACCCACAGGCATAACACCAGACACAAACATCTCTACGACATTCCCCGTGTCCGACTAAACCTTTACAAAAATTCAATGTATGTCAAAGGCCCTAAAATCTGGAATACCCTACCTAAGAACTCTAGAACTGCAGACACACTCATCACCTTCAAAACTACCATTAGAAAACATCTTATCTCCCTGATACACCCCGTCAACTAACTACAGAATACCACCTGGTGGTTCACACTTACACTCACTCACTCATTTGACCATGAACAGAAATATTAATCTCAATCTTAAAATAATGAATCCTGTGATACTCCAATACTGAAACTATGTACTGTGCCAAAACAAAAGCATTCACATTGCTAAACTCACAAACTGGTATTTAGTCACTTAGCCATAATACCAACTTACCTCATAATTTGTAATATTTTACAATTAAGAATAAAACTAAGTCTGCCCGAAATGCCTAGCCATGCTAAGCGTTCTAGTGGTACACTCTGTAATCACAATTTTACTACATGTAAACCACACAATAACCAAATTTCTGTAAACTCAGCATTGTAATCCTTATAGAGAATAAACTTTGAATTTTGAATTGAATTTGAATACACATTAAAGATCACTCCATTAAGATCTGAGACCGATGAGTGATGATTAAACCAAGGGTAATTTTCCCTGGGACACAGTCCATGGTGACGCGCCAGTCACCCGGTCCTACCCTTATTCACTCATTTTACCACTTTATTACGGTGGTCCCGTAAATCACGTTCCCTCACTCTCCACCAGGAACAGTTACGACACTTCCTATTATGAAATGAGGCCTATATTAATCCTTAGGCCGCCGTGAACGCCAATTTCCTGGTTCCATGCTTTCCCAGCCTCCTCACTACATTCAAAACACTCCCGCCTGTCGTGCCCCAGCTCGACCTATACCCCCGCACGTCTGCGCAGGCGCAGCGGGAACCCAGTTGGTTCCATTCAAAATACAAATACATTTTGACCCAAATCAACACATTAAACACTTATTAGGCACTATAGCTTCGGAAATTATATAATTTCCACAATGCCTAAGTACAAAAGTGATAATAGAGGTGAAAGAAAATATAAAAAAAGAGTGGGAAGTAAAATATTTGTGGGTGAAATCTTCTGATGATGGACAGAATGCATATTGCAAGTATTGCTACACTAACTTGCTGCCAAAACTTTATAACATCTGTTCATGAAAAAATCAAAGAAACATTAAGATAAATGTGCCAGTACATCGCAAACAACTTTAGATAAAGTTATCAAATCGTCCATAAATGACCAGGAAGAACAAGCAGAAATAGAACTTAGCCTTGCAATAACATGTCATTCCTCACTGTAAGTATTTTAAGTTTAATTAATAGTATTTTTGATATGTAATCGAATATATAGGCATAATTTATGCACACTTAATTATTGGTATGTTAATTCATACAATTCAATATCTTTGGCCATATTTTTGGCCTAATATTTTTCCAATGTGGCCATTTTTGGCCATATTTTCTTCAAAATTTGGCCATAAGCTGTTGTGTTCATGTGGCAACACTGGCACAGCTCACGCCACAGTCGCCCTTACATTCCATCACAACAACACGCCTGCTGGTCTTCTAGTAAGTTCATCTTTGACATTAATATAATGTTAGGTAATACACAGTTTGATAATAAGTGTGAGGATTTATTACTGAGGTACAATTGGTAATCATTAATATCTCAGTGTTTCAACAATTTTGCGTAAAATGTAGATTAACGGGCGAGATGATGGAGGAGACTGACGTCACTATCTATTGGCTTATTACGAAATAAGAAATTTTTGATTGGATTTTTAAGCCTGAGGTTCATCCACCCAGGATAACCTGATAAAGTCAGTGCGTCATCGAGGACAGTCTGTCATATTTCCATTGTGGTCCTTCAGTCTTGTCCCCCAGGATGCCACCTACACCAGTTGACTAACACCCAGGTACCTACTTACATTTATATATTTTTTATATATATAAATATGTTCACTTCACTACATTTTTTCATCCAAAACTGAATAATACATGCTATGAAGGCTTTTTCCGTAAACTATAGGATTAAATTTTTTTTAGTTGCAATTAAAAACAAAAATAACACTACGAAGTGCTTAATAACAGAGTTCCTTGTATGTGTTTTCGTCAGTATATTACACTACATTGAAATAGGTAATTTTTTGTCAGTTTATTATTCCACACTGAAATATTTCCAGAACAGTAATGTATTTGGTTATTCTTGCAGTAATATTTATTTTAATTATGTCAATCTTATTTACTCTAATTCATTAATGATTTATTATTAGTAACGATGCAATTAATATGTATGTATATATTTTGGTAGAATTACCGACAATATGTAAAGTAAAAGGACACAAGTGTAACTGTTGTGACATTTTTGTGGCAATGTTTCACTCTCCAGGAGCTTTGTCAAGCCGTTACAAACAATATATGGACACAGAGGGTATATATAGGCTTAGAGTGAGGTGTAATACTAGTGATAGTAGTAGTAGTGATATAAGTTTTATTACTACTACTACTGCTACTAATACAACTTGTATCACTACTACTACTACCCCTAGTATTACACCTCACTCTAAGCCTATATATTCCCTCTGTGTCCATGTATTCTTTGTAATGGCTTGACAAAGCTTCTGGAGAGTGAAATGTTACCACAATAAAATGTCACACTAGTTGCACTTGTGTTCTTTTACTTTACAGTGCGTAGATGGATGGTTCAGAGAACCGACATGTTGATAAATTAGACACATGTGCAAGTCTTGGGTATCTTTATTGAGGAAACGTTTTGCCACACAGTGGCTTCATCAGTCCATACGTAGGAGAAACTTGAAGAACAGGAGGAGAATGAGGTGATCAGTCCCTCAACCTTGAGTCGATGTGTTCAGTCCATCAATCTTGAGTAGAATACGGCAAATGAGCGGAGAAGCAGCTTATAAACCGTATGGCAGGAGAGGTGTAGCAGTCATAGGTGGCGTTACATTTGTTCAATGTGGAAGTAGGTCGTGCCCAAGAATTAGGCAAGCGAAGAATTCCTAAGTTGAGGGACTGATTACCTCATTCTCCTCCTGTTCTTCAAGTTTCTCCTACGTATGGACTGATGAAGCCACTGTGTGGCGAAACGTTTCCTCAATAAAGATACCCAAGACTTGCACATGTGTCTAATTTATCAACTTTACAGTGCAAATAATATATTAGGTGAATGCACATACTATTGCACAACTGTTGTACCAAAGACATTTACAGCAGCTAAGTTTTGCTTAAAAAGAACTTTGTCAAGTCTTGGCTTGCTAGAATTTATATTATGTGGTTTAATCCAACTTAGCCTATTTAATGTCAACTTATCTTTAACCCTTTGAGGGTCGATAGGCCCTCTCCAAGACTCGTTCTCATGGTCGGCCAAATTTAAAAAAAAAAATTATTTTTTCTTATGAAAAGATAGAGACTCTTTTCCCTATCATAATGACACCAAAAATATGAAATTTGATGGAAAATTTAGGGAATTACGCTCTCGCGAAGTTAGCGGTCTCGGCGATGTTTACGGATCGGCGATTTTGCCCACTTTGAGCCCCATTTTCGGCCAGTTCCACTGTACTAGTCGACAGAAAACATGAATATTTCGCTAGAACTCCATTTTTTCTATTGAATGAGTGCAAGAAACCACCCATTTACCAATTTCAACTATCCAGTACAGTGGTCAGAATTTAGCAATTTTGCCAATTTCACACAAATTTAAAAAGATGCCAATTTCCGAATAGGGTCCAGAACAAACAAGAAATACATTCCTGGCACTAAAATGACATTTCCTCTGTTCATTAGTCACGTCTCAAGGCTCCTCTTGCATTCTTTTGCTTTCCACTTTGAATTTTTATTCTCACAAAAAATAGAAGATTTACTGTTTTGCAGACTACTGCATTAGTGTAAAAAAATGGTATGAATCATATTGGCGCACTTGCAAAAGAATATTAGACTCACCAGTTGACGTGTATTGGACGCTTGGCATAATTTGTTTACTTTTGAACTTTGGTAAAAATTGAACATTTCTGCTACTTTGAGCTCAATTTCAAGATACTTTTCATTGTAAAACCAGTCAAAATCATCTCAATTTCTATGATATGCCTTCCATTCTATAAAATGAGACCAAGAAAACTAGAATACAACAATAAATACCATACGAAAATACAGTGCAAAGTCGCTGTTTTATTCCAAAAAACGGTCAAAGTTTTTTTTTTTTCATTATGCACTGTGTGCTGCAGGATTTTTTTTATACCGTGCACACTGACCACATAGACCCATTCTTTCATATGGAGGCCTACCAGCTTTCTCCCACTAGATTTGAGGGCGCTAGAATTTAGGCGTACTAGTACGTCAAAAACCCTGGGTCGTAAGCCGTACTAGTACATCCGAAACCCTCAAAGGGTTAATTTATGTTATTTAAAATTTAGGAAATGTATTACATTTATGATATCCTGATATTTATGATACTTTTTCAATTATATAGCATTAACTATATGTCCAGTCTGCTTGGCAGAATTATCATTATTAAATAAACCAGGTCAGCAAATTCTGGATATAAATCATGATAGAATTTTAGATCTTAATTATTAATAATCATGATACTGTACTGTGATAATGATTTTCAATAATGGTTATTTTAGATAATCATATTATTATGATGACAGTATGATATAGATAATGATCAATAATTATAGATAATTATATGTAAGTACTGCACATATAATCGCAATGATTTTATAAAAATTAGCATATTGAATTATAGATAGTACTACCTACTATCATATTCCCAAGCTCCATTATTTGATTATCACTTTATTTGTATTAGCCCCTTTTATATTGTCTCCTTTATTTTAGCTTAAAAAAAAAAAAAAAAAAAAAAAAAACTACCTTAGCTCATTATTTTACATTTGTTAAATAATTCAGGTGCTATTTTTTAGCTTAAGACTATTTACTTTGTTCTATACTTAATTCTAACTATAGATTCACTACAAATCTTATGATTACAAGCATTGATCCTGATACCAACCTCTTATTTAATGACTTAAATGAATCAAACAGTTACTGTAATTACTACACTGCAGAACAATCAAAGGCACTTCTCAGTGCCAACAACAACATAACTATCTTTAACTACAATATCAGATCTTTAAGCAAGCATTATGTTTGACCTCAAAAGCATTACTGAATTCCTTACATGCCAAATGTCCATCATTACACTAACTGAAACCTGGCTTAAGCCTGATAGTACAGATGTCTATGCCATTCCTGGTTACACAAGCCATACACAACTGTAGGCCAGACCAAAAAAGGGGGTGGCACAGCCATATATACTCAGACCAACTAGAATGTATCACTAATACTTGCACAAGGGATGAACATGGGGAATATAATTCCCCCAAAATTCAAATCCAAATCCCTACAAAAACCTCTCACATTGATAAACATTTACAGAGTTCCACAGTCAAACATTAGCCAATTTTAGTCAAACCTAGGAAGTATGATAACTGTGCACGCATGAACAAAGATCACTTACTACTCTCAGGTGACTTCAATATAAATCTCCTGCAAGACCAGGACCCACACGTTACTGAATTCACAAACACAATGAGTAACTTTTATGTTGCTCCAACAGTAACAAAACCTACAAGAGTTACAGAGACTGTGTTTCCCTACTTGACCACATCTGGACCAACCCATATCCCCTTTAAAAATCAGGCATAATTACAGATAATACCACAGACCACTACCCTACTTTTCTCATAACAAACTCTTGGTAAATTACCCCAAGACAACTCTAAAGTCACCTTCAGACTTCACAATGAGGCAGCCATTAATAACTTCACAACAGCGTAGCAAACATTGACTGGTACACTGAGCTAGAAATCTATTCAGATTTTTGACGAATGTATTAATAATTTTCTAAAAAAGACCCAATACCCCTATAACAAGCACTGCCCTAAAAAAACTAAACAGATGACAGCTAAGAGACTGAACAGTCCCTGGTTAACACCCCGCATTCTCAAAATCCATAAATACAAAACACCAATATGAAAAACAGTACAGAATGGGTCAAAATAAAACCCGAGACCAAACAAAACGTTACTCGTCAAACCTAACCAGCCTGATAAGAAGGGCAAAAAAATTGTATTATGAGAAACAGATTTTCCAACTTACGAGGTGATATAAAAAAGACCTGGAAAACCCTATCAGAAATTCTAGGAACAAAAAAGATATCACGAAAAAAGCGAAATAAAATTAGCAAAAACAGATGAACCCCAACCCCACCAACAGAAACAGCAAACAGACTCAATGACTTCTTCTCCAAATATAAAGGGCAAAACCTTGCCAATAAAATCCCAAGCTCAGATACCCCACCAAATGACTACCTCACTGGCAACTTCCCGAAACACACTGTTCCTAGCTCCGACTAACCCATACGAAGTCTCCTTATTATCAACACGCTAAAAAACCAAGGCAGGAGATTTAAATACCTTACCACCCCCTTTTTTTACAAAAAGTGTCACAAGTGCTAAACACCAATCATTGCAACACTCTTAACAAATCCA